TGTTGAAGTTGAGGTGATGATTTTAGAAGACAAATCCCTGAGTAGGAGCTGCAGAACGCTCCAGTAGCACAGAGATGCTACAGAGGGATGCATGTTTGACCTGAAAAAGAATCTTTGATGGTGACAGACAGTCACAGAAACACAAACCTGACAAGTTCCATTTTGGTTTGTCATTAAGTTTAGTCACAGGCAGCCAAACTATGAGGTATGAATGTTTATATATCATCAATTTCTGTGGTAAAAAATAAAGAGCTCTGAAACTCATCTCTATCCCCTACATAAAGTAATTTCAGGATGAAAAATAAACTGGGTATGCAAAGCCCTGCAAAGTGAAGAGTCTGCAGCGCTGTGGCTTCGGTAAGATTCCTGCTGATTGCAGTGCGTTCGTCTGTGCCTCCATTAATTCCCCTTTTGATTAGAACAACAAATAAAGCTTTGCTGGCCACTGAGCTATGACAATGGACTGTCTGCTCCCTGAGTCCAGCCAGCCTGGTATGCAGGGCAATGAATACTGCAGCAGCACAGCATAACACAAAAGCGAGGCTTGTTTTTATCCGACAGACAGTGTTGGTCTTTCAGCGCTGCTAGCAAAAGCACAGGACTGTGAGTGTAGCAAGTCACTCCGATTCGGTCCGTTCTCATGACTTTAGGCCCTGTTAGGTAAAGGAAATACACACCAACAGTGTAACAGGCAGAAAGTATTCAGCGTGAGGTTTTTCTGTTTGATTCATTTGTATTTATATAGTGCTGTGGTTAACACTTTGTAAAATTACACTGAGAAACCCCCACAAATGTGCTATCTATAGTAGTGGAATGCAGTACTTGTTCTCGTTCACTGGCTCAGTTATTTTCTTCAATCTGACAACCTGAACCAATCCATTTAGCTGTGCATGTTGGGGCAATCTGTCGCTGATTTTTTATAAAGAAAAAAATACAAAGAACGGAGATGGCTGGTGGAGAGGTAGAGGTCCTGGCTCATCAGATACACCTGATGTTAAAGATTGCAGGTGCATGCAGGAGATACCAACCAGTGCAGAAGAAGCGTTTAATTGCAAGAGCTAACGGTGCTACAGGAATATTAATCACAATCATGATTATGGCTTCCCATAATTAAATGAACATGATCGACCCTGGTGATAAATGCATTGAAATGCTCTCTGCCTGTAGAAAGTTCTGCACATTGTTCAACTCTGCACATAGCAAACAGCCCTCACTGGGTTTGATCCTTGACCTTGGCTAAATCTGACATCAGAACACCTTATTTCACTCCTTTCAAAGTAATTTTTCATCACACACCTACGTGAGTGCGATGCAGACGTCTAGACAGCTTCCACCGCAGCCTGCATGTGTGAGGCGTTTAGGGAACAGCTGTAAATGTTCGGCAGGTGAGGAGTTTAATAACACCAGACAACGCAGGAAACGGCTGCTGACAAAATTCCTGCATGCGTCAGCAGCATGCGAGGCCATGAAATACTGTGCGATCAAATCACGTGCATGCATCCATCCACTTCCTATATGCTCTGTAGGGTCAGTCGGTAACTCGCCTCAGCATGTTTTAGGACATGAGAGGAAGCCGGAGCACCTGGTTGAACCCATTCAGGCACAGACAGAACATGCCCTTGGTGCTACCAGTAAAACGTTCATCTAATTAATATGCTTATTACATGAGCAATGGAATTTATAAGGATGTTTTGTGACTGAGTGAACACTTAGATAATTAAATAAATACTTCAGTATAATCAACTTAATTCAATGTTCAGTTCATGAAATACAGTTGAAATCAGAAGTTTACATACACTGTATAAAAATCCATCCATCCATCATCTATACACCGCTTAATCCTCACTAGGGTCATGGGGGGCTGGAGTCTATCCCAGCTGACTCAGGGTGAAGGCAGGTTCACCTGGACAGGTCACCAGTCTATCACAGGGCTACACTTAGAGACAGACAACCAAGCACACTCACATTCACACCTACGGACAATTTACAATCACCAATTAACCTCAGCATGTTTGTGGACTGTGTGGGAGGAAGCCGGAGAACCCGGAGAGAACCCACACTGCACGGGGAGAACATGGAGCCTCCACAGTCTGACATTAAGTCAGACTAAACCTTTCCTGTTGTAGGTCAGTCTGGATTACCAAATCCAATTCTCTTCCTGATATCTTGGCTGGTTTCTTTAGATTTTCCATGTTGTCACAAAAGGAAGCAGTGTGTTTGAGGTGTGCCTTAAAATACATCCACAGGTGTGTCTCCAATTAACTCACATGTTGTCAATTAACCAATCAAAAGCTTCCAAAGCCATGACATCATCATCTGGGCTTTCCCAAATAGTTTAAAGGCATCTTAGTGGATGTAAACTTCTGACTTTGAAGAAAGTTATAAAAACTTCACGCTCTCATTAATCTGGCGTTTAGCAAATAGAAATAATGTTGGTAATCCTAACTGACCTAAAACAGGAAAAGTTTAGTCTGATTTATTGTCAGACAGTGAGAAAAAAAAAAAGGTTTTGTGACTTTTTATACAGTGGATGTAAACTTCTAGTTTCAACTGTATGTCCTTGGTGAAGAATAAGTTGATGACAGAGCAGATTTGTGCTCTCGCTGCTTCGCTTATGTCTGTTTCACACTAACGGATTCATCCCTCTCTTCAGAATTTCCTCTTAATCCTCGAATCTGAGTAACTTGTGATTTTCAATTTCAGGGTCAACTGATTTTTTGTCTGGCTTTAGATTCTTTCAGTGTTTCTCTTCCCAGCCAAGAAAAAAAAAAAAAAAAACAACAATTTTGTAGCAAGGCTGATTAAGTAAAATAATCCAAAAAGTTTACGAGGTAAAAAGTTCTACAAGCTACAGAACCAGGCGGGTAAACAGGATGAACAAGAGGCAGATAAAATATGCAAAACTGGTCAAAAGCAGGAAAACAAGCTACATGCAAAAAAACAACACAGCCAGTGAGCGCTGTTTGCTGCTATACAGTGAGGAACGAACACAGCAGACCATCTAGAGACTAATTTAACGATGGGAAAGTGGGAAAGACGGACATGTGGAAGGGGCAAGTCTGCAACTAGTTAGTAAATGGAAACTATAAGACTTGCTTATATTGTTTACGTTGACTTTTTTTTGGCAGTCGTACGTCTGAGTAAAACAAACCGAAGAAGTGAAGAAGCAACATTAATTCAGCTCTTTTTTAAAAAAAATTAAAATTATAGTAAAAAAACAAAAAAACAAGGCAAAACTCATTGAACCAGACAACTACTAAAGAATTCTGTGCACTGTACTGGATCCATGTCATCCCCTTTTTAAAGAGCATTTTAGCATTTTGTCCAAGCTGAACTCAACACTGAATTTATCCATCAGTCTGAATCCTTTCAAACCTCTCACTGAACCTGTTAATGTTTACTGTTCAGCTTTTGTACGTCACAAAACAGTAGATTGTAAAAGTCAGACAGCTCTGAGTGACCACCTGTTTACATCCGTCTCTTTGAATCCTTGAATCTGAGCAGCTTGTCATATGTAATTTAATGAGGCTCTTCCATGTCACTCACAAAGCATTTACATCACTTTTATGTCATGAATATATCTAGAAATTATGCATATTTCCTTTTAATAAACAGGCCTACATACATCTCTTGTTTTTAAATATTGCGGTTGTCTGCTGTGCCTGGCATTGTGGATTTTTATCAGCCCTGGGAGAGTTCACGACTTTTAGATTAGATCAAGCATCCATACGATGAATTTAATATTAACAAATATCTCAATTAATTATATTGCTAGCCTGGGCCTTGGGGGTTTTCTGTGTGCATGTTCTCATCGGGTTCTCCGGCTTCTTCCCACAGTCCAGAAACATGCTGAGGTTAACTGGTGATTCTAAATTGTTTGTATGTGAGTGTGCTTGGCTTGTTTGTCTTTATGTGTAACCCTGAGATAGACTGGCATCAGCTGGGATAGACTCCCGTGACCCTAGTGAGGATAGAGAGGTGTAGAGATGATGAATGGATGAATCTTGTTATTAATATTAACAATAATAATAATAATAATAATACATAATTTAAGACAGAATACAGACTAGAGAAAGCTTTTATTGCCAAGTGAGCTCGCACTCACAAGGAATTTGACACAGTGAATGAAACTGTGGTGCTCAGCAACAAGAAGAAGATAGGCAATAAATAATAAAGAAATCTAAAAAGTTCTAAATAAAATACTATATGTAAAAGAAAAGGACAAAAGCACTATGTAAATAAAATGGACTGTGTAAAAAAATCGCCTAAACCAGAGTAATAAATTAGAAAGCACTTTAAGTTACAATATTGCACAGGGATTAGAAGAGCTAACATAAAACTGAACATTTTTACATGTAATAATATTGAACAGAGGCAGCATAACAAGAGCCTTTAATGATTTAGTGACTAGTATGTAAGAACATTATAAAAAGTGTGGAGAGTTGTAGGCAAATGGGTTTCTTGAATATTAAAACAATGCATTTTATTTATTTATTTTTAAATGCAACACTGTGGAAAATCAAAATACAATGAAATAAGCACAGAAACGCGATGTTGAACCGAGACGAGCGCTTCATTGTTGTTGTCAGGTTCTCCAAACTCGTGCTCCCCTCAGGTGTCGGTGAGATCGCGGCTGTCAGTGGTCCGTCCGACCGGAGGGGCGGGTTCTGACACATGCCTGCGCACACGTGTGACCGGATCTCTCGTGTACGTCCACGCTGTTCCAGAACTCTGAATCAGCACCGGGGGACTCTGTGAACGCGTTGAAAATATCCCAGCTGTGAAGCAACATCAATAACCAATAATCGTAAAAGTGGCGTAAAATGGATTTTTAAATAAAATGAAATAAAAACAAACGCGCTGTTTTTTTTATTTTTTTTATTTTTTACATAACCAGATCCCCGCGTGCTGCCTTCTCTCCCGCCGACCAATCAGCGCGCTCCGAGGCTCCCCCGAAGCCCCGCCCTCTGTTCTCTGCGCGAGCTGGAACATTTTGTTTATGCGGCCAAATTAGTTGCTCCAGCTGCGACCGAAGCTGCAAACGAGCCGCTTCCACGCCGATAGCTGCAGCTGAAATAAAACAAAAATAAAAAGGACCACAAACTGTCGACAGACTGGCGTTTAACCTCCGACCGACGGCCGCGCAGACGTAAGGAACGTCAAACTTTACCAGCTCCGCGTTAAAGTAATGAAAGAGAAACACGTCCTCCCTTCATGCCTACTTTCGACAAAAAGAAAGCTATGGAAATTTGCGACGGGAAGAAGAGGAGAAAGGTAAGCGGGGTGCGGGTGTGCAGGCGCGCCGTGGCCGGCAGGATGAAGCGCGAGGCGGGCAAAGTTCTGCGCTCGCTCACGGTGGAGGACAACAACAACCACATGGAGGAGGAGGAGGAGGACGACGACTGCTTCTCCATCAGCTTCCTCCGCGGCGACCGGCTGGAGCCCTCCGTGGTGGTGGCGGCGCCCCGCTACAGCCTGCTGCGGGAGGTGGGTCGCGGCAGCTACGGGGTGGTGTACGAGGCCGTGGCCCGCAAGACCGGGGCCCGGGTGGCGGTCAAGCGGCTCCAGTGCGACGCGCCGGAGAACGTGGAGCTGGCCCTGGCCGAGTTCTGGGCGCTGACGAGCCTGGAGAACCGGCACCAGAATGTGGTGCAGCTGGAGGAGTGCGTCCTGCAGAGGAAAGGCCTGGCCCAGAAGATGAGCCACGGGAACAAGAGGTCCAGACAGTACCTGCGCCTGGTGGAGACCTCACTCAAAGGTACACTAGTGGGGCTCATGAATAAAGAAGCCTTTCTTCTAAAGTATGCTTTTAAAAAAAGAAAAATAGTCTTCATCAGCAGCTTGTAAGTGTAGAATGATTTTACTAATTACATCAACAAAACTACAAACTGCCTTCAGCAAATAATCACATCATTCAGGTTGATGGGATTTAGGTTGTGTAAACAAATCGTTTATGCAACCACTCTTGGATCAATTACTGTAATGTTAACCAAAAAAAACAACCAAAACCTGCCTGTCACTGTGACTTATTTAATATCCAAATCATTCCAAACTGATAGTAGTGTTTAAATCCTATAGTAATGTGTAACCAAGTAGAAAACACACTCATAAATTGCTGTGAGGATTCTTAATCATGTAATAATATTTGAAATAACACCAATATGCTGCTGCAGCCCTTCTGTCAGTGCCATCGCTTACATATCACCTACAGTCGTCTGTGAATGTACACTGCGTTGCCCTCAGCTCACAAGAGAACACAGTGTACTACTTGGCAGTGTGTTAAATCACTGCTCCACAACTGGGAATTCACTCATTAAAAGATAACCTCCCAGCATAATGTGGGATATTATCACGTAAAAGTGTGGCTCTGGATGATAATAAATTTGTATTATTGTTGTCATCGATCCAGTTTGACCTACTTATCGCTCCCTTTGTTTATTTGCTCAGAAGACCTACTAGATAAAGGTTAAAAAAATCTAAAAAAAACACCAACCTGTAAACAGTATCATCCTGATGCTGAAATTTAGCATTAATGTAACATAACATACTGGCACGCGTTGTTAAAAAATCCAGCGTTATAACTCTTTATACTCTTTGTTAACAGCTTGACTGTTATATAAGTGTCACCATTTTGGAAATAAAATATTAATCTTGAGCTGGCTGATCTTTTGAAGTGATGAGAGAGAATGTTTGTGGCATTCCAGGAACAATGCAAAGGGCTCGCTTTTGTTCTTTATGCCCGTTTAGCTTCTGCGTTGGTCCGCTTAGCCGAGGTTTTAAAGTGTGAAGCCAAGTAGTCGGCAGCCATCGCTCAACGGCTCCCAGCGATGGTCAGTGTAGGGCAGGTTTGGACGTTTTGAAATCGATTTTCGCTGTGATTTCCGAATTATTTGCCATTTGTGAGGGGAACCTTGTCTTTGTGAAGCGATGTGTGGGGGAAAAAATTAAACCTCGATGGATGAATTCGCTGCCCTGATATGTTAGCTGATATTAGCCCACGACAGACACAGTGTGTTCGTGTAGGAATCTCTGTTGGCTGATAAACCACAACACACATCAGTAGGAGAATGTCAAAGACCTGTTTGTTTGTTGGCCAGCATTGTGTAGTTTGATCACAGTAACCAACAATAAGGAAAAATTGAGTGCAACGAAACAGATATTTTTAGAACTCGTTATCCATGTCGGCCTTCAAATTCTAGTTTTGATCAGAGGTTTAATGCTGAAGTCCTGTTTAGAGATTTAGGTTGCTCTGCCAGGATAAAGCGGTGTACAGAAAATGAATGGATGGACAATAATAATAATAATCCCTAAGTCGGCTGAGATAGACAGTCAATCTAACAAAAAAAAAAATAGATAAAAGTTTATTTAAAAAAAAACATAGGACACTCTGAAGCCTAAGAGTTGTCTGGAAATTGTTAGCGTTTTAAATACGGAGCTGAAATGGAGTGAAAGTATCGCTCTAGTTTGGTGCTTCATACGTTTATTGGGAGTTTGCAGTATGGAGTTACTTGTCTTGATCCTGGCATGGGGCACCACAGGTTTTTAAGCCCTAATGAGCTTACTAAATGTAAAGGTTTGATCGCTGTAATCTCACTAATCACATCTGTCCTTCTTCAATCTGCATACTGTAGGAGAGCGCATCCTGGGTTACCCCGAGGAGCCGTGCTACCTCTGGTTCGTCATGGAGTTCTGCGAGGGTGGGGACCTCAACCAGTACATCCTGTCTCGTCGGCCCGACCCCCAGACCAACAGGAGCTTCATGCGCCAGCTGACCAGCGCTGTAGCTTTCTTGCACAAGAACAACATTGTCCACCGCGACCTGAAACCAGACAACATTCTTATCTCACAGAAATCCGGCTCACCTGTTCTTAAAGTGGCAGACTTTGGCCTCAGTAAAGTTTGTGCTGGCCTAAACACCAAGAACAGCGAAGAGCGCCCGACAACGGGAGAGGACGGCAAAGGCAGCAACCAGAACAACATCTCCAACATAAACAAGTTCTGGTTGTCGTCGGCTTGTGGCTCAGACTTCTACATGGCCCCCGAGGTGTGGGAGGGCCACTACACCGCCAAGGCCGACATCTTCGCTCTGGGCATCATCATCTGGGCAATGATTGAACGGATCACTTTCATCGACGCAGAGTCCAAACGTGAACTGCTGGGCACCTACATTCGACAGGGCACAGAGATTGTACCTGTCGGGGAGGCTCTGCTGGAGAACCCCAAGATGGTGCTCCACATCCCTCAAAAAGCCAGAAGCTCCATGTCCGAGGGGGTCAAGAAACTCCTCCACGACATGCTTGCAGTCAATCCTCAGGACCGACCGGACGCCTTCCAGCTGGAGGTGCGAATGGACCAAGTCACATGTGCTGCATGACACCCCCCACCTTCTCAAAACCTCTCCTTACCCTAACCAGTCCAAGAAGGGACCTCTTTCCTTCCCAGGTAAGCTCCATTTTCTTGCTAATACAGTGCTGTTTACTGTCTCCCCTCCTATACAAATGTTTGTTTTAGGTTAGTCGTGTGCAATCAAAGAACACTCAGAGGTTTTGACCCAGCCAAACCACACAAGAGTCAATTTCACTGGTACTATCCACCTTTAAGCAGCCAGTGAAATGAACTTCTGCAGTAATTAGTAGGTATTAAACCCTGCTGGCTCATCTGTGGAACAGAACTAACGACTATTTGCTTAAATGGAACACTGGCCGTTGGTAATCCAGGCCTGAAAACTGGTAATCTTCCTTGTAGCTGACACGATTAGCCTTTCTTGTCCCGGTTACTGACTTGAGCGTCCCTAATTTACCAGCTACTCTAGTGTGAGGTCACTGGTTGTTGCGTTTTTTTCTCTGGTTCAGAAAGGTGCTTTTACAGATACAGTGAAGAGAAAGGATGTCACATGCAGCAACCAGGTTAACATAAATAAAAGTCAGGTCGGAGATTTCAGGAGTAAAACTATGCAAAACACGTCTGAGTATGACTTCATGCCACATCTGGTGGTGTCAGGCTGTCAAACTGGAACTAGTTCAATGGGAAGCATCCAAAAAATCTCTTTCCTGATAGTGTTAAATGTCTCTAAAAAAATCTATACCTACAAAAATCGTCAGGAAAGTCGCGTTCACTCTAACCAAACACTTCCTGTTCCTGTTGTCAAATACAAAGGTGTGGCTGACACTGATGGTAAGTAGCAGGAGGTGTTTGATAACCTTGGCCATGGGGAGAGAGAGAGAGAGGGTGACTTTCGGATTGGTAGTGGAAACCAAACCGGGTACAGCCTGGGCCTCGGGGGAAACAGCCTGGCTTTGATGAAATGTGCACAATCAGGGTGTGTGAGAGAGTGAAGCAGAAAACAATGACTTACTGGCAGCCACTGCAAAGGATCTTTGGCATGCACATGTGATTTATGCGGTTAATATTCACACCTAGCAGTTACATCTGGTGTGACTTCAGGTTCCATTAAAACACTGAACGTTGCACAAGTGCTGTTTGTGTCCCTTTGACTGACGGGATGCTGACACGGAGAATATCCTGACAGGCAACTTTTGACAAGTCCGTGCCGGTTGAGGGTTTGTTGAGTGGCGTGTGTTTGTTCATAAATAAGCCTCGTTAATGTTGCTCACCTATAAAGCTCTCAACTGCCAACGGTATACAAGTATGTTGTTTATTCCCATTCAGCTTAAAAGTACAAAGACATGGTGGTTGGTTGATAGAGTTGGACGAAAGATTCCAGTTCATACCTTCTCGTTAATGACTTCTGCTTTCTCTGACTACGTGCGTAATCGTATTACGTCAGCGGAGCGTGGCGTTGACGTTACCTCGCCTAATTAAATTATAATTGGATTATTGGTGTGTATTTAAACACAACCATTTAGAGGCCACTGGTAATCTACCTGTACAGCTAAGGGTTCACGATGTACTCTTCTGCTGAAAGATCCTTTTGAAGTCAGAATTGGGTACAAAGAGATATAAACTATACACTAGTGCCATTGTGTAGCTTGTTTTTTAAAAATTTTTTTTATCCTGTAACAGCCTTTTTGAAACAATACCAGCTTTGTTGACCTCCGTGGTGCACCACTGACTGGAGACCACCATATTCTATTTACGATTCTCAATATAGGTCTTTTTTTTGTCTTGGTTTCCAACAAGTAGGGCTGCATGATTGTAGCTTATGGTTATAAATGGTCTTCACTTACATGGCGGGGGATTGAACCGCCAGCGTTGCTGTTGGCGGACAACCTGCTCTACCCAAACTGGTTTATTGTGATCATTATTGGCGCAATTATTCATTGATTTTTAAGGATGTTTTTGTGGCATTTTCACATTTTAACTACGTTCTACCAGTTCGTTGTGCTGCTTTACACATCCTTGTTCTAAATCCAAAAGGATCAGGGCTAGGGTTAGTTTGGTTTTCACCTTTGCATGTCTTCTCTCTGTTATCTTGTACTCTGCTTTTTTGCACGGTGAGGTGACATGTCGACTCCCCAAAAGTGCAGCTAAAATGTCTTGTTTGCTTCCTGGTGGCTGCCTTTAAGTTAAGTTTTCTGTTTTGTAGTTAACGTTGCCGCCGATCGTGTTCATTTATTCTTTTCGGGAAGACGAACGAATAATATTCCAATAACTTTTCAAACCTTAGTGCTAAACCACAGTAAACAGTGTTTGGAAACCCTAAATTTGTAGATTCAAACTAAAAAAAAAAATCACAACATAACCTCAATCCTTACTGTCTAAAACGGGACATATCTCCCACCCCTCCCCCAAAACCAACAGCCTTTGTCTACAGTATTGACAGTGCAGAGCCCCAGAAAGATCACAGCGAGATTTTGTTTGAAGACTACTTTACGTTCCCTCGCGACCCGCTTGACATTTTTTCTGATCTATATGAACAGTTGGTGTGTTATGTTACACTGCCAGTTCTGGGAAATGCTCTGCACATACAAAGGTCGGCACAGATGATGTAACACGCAACAGGATGCATTTATTGCTTTGTTATTCTTAATTTTTAGTGGTCGATCTGTGCAGGTGCTCTGCCTGGTTGTGATGGTGAAGCTGTGGCTGGATATGGTGACTCTGTACGTGGTTGAACCAGCTCCTCTAGTTTTCTTTCTAAAAAAAGAAGTGACGTAGACCTCGCTGAAGATGCTCTAACTCTCATTGGAGTCAAAACCAGCTGCAGTGTGCTGTAATATACATGATTCTGTATCATAATACAGCTCAACATACCTCCATGGGAGAGGAAATGCAAAAGTTACAGCGAAAACAAACACAAACGTAGTCCAGAAAACTTTCCTCAACCTTTTGGGGGCTCCATATGACGGCACAGGAGTCCCTGTAAGATTTTAATTGTCTCAGTTTGCTATTTGGAGCGGAAACTCCTTGCAGCACATCAAACAAGCACCGAGTGGATGCTCAGCGACCCAAAACGGCCGTCTGATTGTTTGAACTTGAACTCTCTCTCTGACCGACTAATTGTTTGACAATTAGCTCTCCGCTCCTTTCAGCCAGTTTTCCCCCCGTTTTAGGGCAGCGGTGGAGTCCGAAGATGCTGTTGCGTGCTAGCCCGCCCGCCACAGATTGGCCTCGTTCTTCTCGTAACATGATGGGATAGAGCGTTACGCAACAGCCCCAACAGCCCCGCACTGGTTCGGTGGGAAGAACCGTCATCTGTTGGAGAGGGCGATTAGTGGCTGTAAGCAGAGAGGAGGGGAGGCAGCGCTTTCTGCTGAATGTGTTATTTGTGTCAGGGCCTGGTTAAGTGAGGGGCCAGCTGACGACAGGCAGCAGAGCGACCACGCTGAGGTCACCTGTGAGTTTTAACACTCACCTGAGAGCGTCTGATTGGACAATATGTAGGCACTGTGTTGTTCCTTTGAGGAATCCGTGGGATCTGCTCCAGTCAGTGAGGGGATGAGTGCATTAATAAACAATGTAAATACAGCTTAAAATTAGTAAGTGGGATGCATTTTGTTAAAAAAAAAATGTAGTTAATGAGAGGCTTTGTAATTAATTAATCTCGATTGATCGCATTTTTAGCAAATATTAATGTTTGACACAATAAGCAGTTCAAATGAATTTTTGGTTGACGACTTCTATATCAACTTAAACAACAAAAATGTTTATTTTCAGCTATATTTATCTGCATTTTTCATCAATCTACTACAGTCACAGATTAGTGCCAACTCAAAGTGCGATTATATTCGACATTTTAAGAGTTTTTGTCTTTAAAAACTCTTTGTTGCACGATTTGCACACAACCACGCTCTTATCCAAGCTGCCATCAGGAAGTTTAAAAAAAAAAAACAAAACAAACTTTTTACCCAACAAACCAAGCATCCTGTGCATCTTTTTCGTGGCCGGTAAACAAACTTTAGGTGCATTAGCGCCACCTACCGCCTGGAGTGTGTGCATCAGTGTTACCAGTGTGCCAGAAATTAGGGAACTGAGAAAGGTGCGATGAAATGCGTTTTTTTTTTTTTTTAACACGTTATCTTTTTAAAGTAATTAATTAATCAAAATTAACACGTTAAAGTCCTAGCCCTAGTACATTTACTTATTTACATTATTTATGAATGCACTGACTATTTTTCTTATCCTTTAAATATTAATTATGTAATCTAAAACGCTTAAAGTGACAGTGTTAGTTTGCTTTGTGAGTCTGACAAACATAGTACACCAAAGCTTTTATTCCATTTCTAATGGTTTAAATCCCGGAAAACCTGCTTGTTCTCAACACTGGATGTGTTAAATCTAAGCTCTGCACGTCTCAATCAGTTGATCCAGCAATAAACAGGAGAACATCGTAGCATCACTTAAAGGTCATCACCCCTCTTTTCTATTGTAAATATTCAGTTACAGTAATCATCATTAATTAGGTAGTCTAGCTATGAATGACGGGTTCACTGCTGTTAATAAATAGTTGTTAATGCATATTGGTTATCAGCATTTCTTGATAACTGATACTAACATCAACTCTAAAAACAGACACATCAATGGCGTTTCTATACTGATACTTGAGGTGCTTCCCTACTGATACTGGGTAGTATTTCCATTTTTTTCCATTGATTATTATTGGTTATATTAAGTCTAATCATGTTTGATGATGCTGGTTGGTGGTAACATTCCCATATCTGGCGACTTCTGTGTTCTAGTGAGTAATCTGTGTTTCAAAAAGACGGCAGAAGATGCTGTGATCACATGTAGTTGTTTTTCCAGCGCCGACCTATTCTCCAGTCAAAACCACTCTCCTTCAAACCGAATGTTTTTACACATATCGCTGCTGTTCCGTGCAAAACAAGCCTCCTCTGCCGGACAATGATAGCGCTGCTCTTGGTTGAGGGCTTATGGAGGCTTTTGTTGGGAACATTTTGTCCTCTCTCTGCGTGCCAGCCGTTTGCCGCCTCTGTCTATACCAGACCAGAGCGCTGTAAGCCCTAGCCCGCCCCACATGCACG